AGGCAGATCATTGTGACCCGGACCGAGGTCCACGGCCCCCACGAGGTCTCAGAGCAGTGGAGGCAGCMGGTGGAGRATGTGTCAGCGTCAGGCAGCCTCACGCTGCACCACTTATCTTCACATCACCAGGGAACGTTCACCTGTGAACTCAGTGAYGAAGAGGAGACGCATCTAATCAACAGCTACGTGACCATAGAGACCGAGACAGGTAAGACCCTATGAGACGTTTCTACAATCTGTGATTAACTGTGATGCTTCAATGAGCTGCTTTAAGATATGGACACATGGTCGTTAACACGACTCACTGTGTCCAGACAGGTCGAGTCTGGTTCCTGCTCCAGAACATCACTGAGCTACGGTTAGCTCAGGTTAGCTAGGTCACTAAGGTTAGCTAGTGAGCTAATGTTAGCTCAGGTTAGCTAGGTCACTAAGGTTAACTAGTGAGCTAATGTTAGCTCAGGTTAGCTAGGTCACTAAGGTTATCTAGTTAACTTCAGCAGTTTCTTTGTCTGAGTCCAAACTGATTTTGACGTCACACTGAAGACACATCACTTCACCACTTTGTTGATGCTACAATACTACTCACTGAAATTAATCTAATGTTTTACAGTTTCAGTTGCAGTAATTGTGATCATAGTACTCATTGTGTTGACATCAGCAGTTGCAGTTGTAGTTGGAGCAGTCTACTACTTTAAAAGACGAAAGGTAAATATTCATATTTCTAATAATTCTGCTCTTCATTTATTATGTGTTGTTTGTTCTAATGATTCTTTCTTTTGAACTCAGATGAAATGGATCAGGTACAAAATGAAACAAACCCAATCACCATCTCCAGAGAGTTTAGAGTTAAAGTAAGTTGACTGTATATTCTGTACTGGGAATAACAACATGCTGCTCTACAGAATAACACTGTTGTCATGGAGACACTGTAAGAGTATAMAGAAATGCATGATATGAAAAAGAAGTTAAATTGATTCAATAAGATTAGGAGAGAAGAAGATGTCCTCATGTTTGACAGTTTCACATCTTCTGCAGTTTGTGTTTGTGACTGATGAAGAATAAAAATCTAGGAGATTAAGATTTCAGCAGCTCTGAATTTTCTTCATTTTGTTTACAGGTCACCCAATGAAGAGGATGATGAGGACACAAGACAAGAAAAGAAAGAAATGAAGCCTGAGTTAGAAAAAGTATCTCAGGATGAAGAAGAGGAAGGAGCCAAAAACGTAGAAGACGAAGATGTCAACAAGGACGAGCAGATTAATGAGCTTTTATTGAAATTGGCCAGTTTCCATGTGAACGAGTTGGACCTGGACAATATCCTGCTGACGTCTTCTCTGTTTTAACTCTGAATCCTGAATGTACATTTTTGTTTTTATATTTGCTACTGTTTTGTATTTGTACATATTTTTATGGAGTTGTACTTCATCGACTGTTATGGAACACTGAAAGATGTATAAAAAGTAATTTCTATGAATCTGTGTGGTATCTTTCTGTATTTAACACATTTAGGACATGACTGCTCGTGACTCTAGAGAACTTCTATCTTGTCCTCTAGCGCCACCTGCAGTTGGAAGCTTTCATTTATCCATTGAAATCTAAGTGAGTGTACAAATGTCTGTTCCTCTGGCTCCACCGTGTGGTCATTGGTTGTTCCCACACTTCCTGAGGTCTTCTGTGGTTCCTCTGGACTGAAGAACCAAAGGTGACGAGGCCCCTGGGAAAGTTTTCCTGAGGAACTTCAGGTGGAAACGTCTCTTTGGGGAGAAGGTGTCGATGAAGGGTGAAAGATAAAACAATAACTTCATTCTAATGTGCAGAGCTGCTCAGCTCGTCTGAGGTAAAAACGATTTGAGTTTCTCTGCTCAGAACATTGATCTTCTTTGACTGCTGCTAAAAACCGGGACATCACTACTCACCCAACACCCCCTCCACCCCCGGTGCATCAACAGAACTCACCCCGTGTGTGGACAGCTCTCTGCGGGGGAACTCATCGGTTGTGAAGGGGGTGGCGTTGGACGGGACTACCTTGGTGGCGGGTCTGGACCGAGCTCACCGTCTCCACTCGGTCCAGATAACAACCACGGCGCCGCTGTGACCGACCTTCTCCCCCACAGCGAGGCCGATGTCCCCCACGCTGCAGGGGGAGGTGGCAGAGATCTTCACACCGTGTTTGAGGGTGAGATGTTTAAAACTCTAGACATGGCGCCTGCCACAAACACACAAACACACTAAACTATAAACTGCTGTGAGATCACGTGATTATTAAACTGTGTGAGAATACAACATTCAATAGTGAGAAAATAAAGCAGATGAAACGATTTAACGTTCAGACACCAGCAGCTCCACACACACTCACTCCTCCAGGAGGGAGGGAGAGGTGAGAGAGAGGGAGAGAGAGGTGAGAGAGAGGGGTGAGGGAGAGAGAGAGAGGGAGGGAGGGGTGAG